ACCACTATTTAAAAAACTAAATCTTCTCACAATCTATCAATATAATGACTACTGTATCTCAGTAATGATCTTTGAATATAAACATAACAAATTAAATTATAATATTGCCTCTATTATTAAATGTAAAACAGAAATGCATAATTATAATACTAGATATCCAGAAAATTACTATGACGAAATGTGTAAAAATACAACATCATCTTTTTCTTTCAAATCAAAAGGACCATCAACATGGAACTCTCTTCCTCATTATATTAAAACAATTTCGTTTCTTAATTCTTTTAAATCAAAACTTGAGGTTTTTTTTATTCACATACTCTACAAAATAATAAATCCATACCAACTTTTATAACTTTTAAACCCTTTTTTTGCCATAATGTCACTATGCTTTTCTAATTCTTTATCAGTAAAAATGTAGGTATTTGAATAGGCTGGGGATTGCCTCGATAGAACCTTTATTATATGGTTCTTTTGCAATTTCTATTTTATGTTCATTATCTATTTCTCTGATTTCTTACTCTTGTCTTTACTTCTCTTTTTAATTGTGTGTTTAAATTTCAATGTATACTGTGTATGACATGTAAATATAATGTCAATGTACAATGTTTTTCAATGTACTTTTTTTTTTAAATGGACTTGAATAAAATCAAATTGAATTGAACTGAATTGTTAGCAGACATCCACTGAGTGAGTAGAATGTGTGTGTATGTATATATATATATATATATATATATATATATATATATATATATATATATATATTTGTGTGTGTGTGTGTGTGTGCGTGTGTGTGCGCGTGTGCATGTGTGTGTGTGTGTGTGTGTGTCTGTCTGTCTGACTGTCTTTGTTCAATGCACTGTTTTATTCCTCACTCAGCAACTTGGGGCAAGTGAGATCTGGCAGTCTTGTAATGATTGTCTCATGTTTAGTCATGTATACAGAGATTCAAATGAAAATGGTACCTAAATGTACTGGGAGGATAACTCTATCAAGACAAACCATGAAACCCATTATTAAATATTTATACATCAAACAATACAACTTATAAAAAGTGGGACATTTTTTCTGACACACTCTGTATATAACAATTACCACAAAATGTTGGATTTTTAGCAAGAAATGTCTTTTGCCGACTTTCAAAGGCTATAAATGTCGACCCTTTAGTTTGAAGAGATAGTCGTTGTAACAAATTGTTTTTTCACATAAGGCTTCTGTCTCAATATTGATTAATCGGACATTAACGGTAAAAAGACAGGCAAATGTATGGCTTTGAACTTGACAGCAACGTAGCTTCATTTTAGACCTAAAAAGAACAACACAGTGTGACAATTAAGTTTCCTCCACTGTTCTCTGTATATTAACTATCACACAGTAAAATTTATATTGAACAGGTTCAAAACATCCAGTGTTTGAAAATGATTAATAGTATAAGGTAATATAGAATGATTCTGAATGACTCCTTTCAACATTGCTCTTTTCTACAATTTAAAAAGAAGGAGGTTCAGCTCATATATTCTGAAATTAAAACACGTTCCTGCTGAGTAGATACATTACACTCAAACCATTGTAGCTTATGCAATATCCCCCAAGAAAAACAAATAAATAAACGGCCAATGTTTCAGGTGATGAATGTGAAATTTGGTACTACTTTGTAGACTACCCGAAAGGTAAAGATTAATGTTAGAAATACAATACTAAAAGACCAAATAAATTATACTGTTACAAAATGTCTGTATAGACATTTATTCCAAACTTGATATATTATACACAATATTTTCAAAATTACATATCTATCTAATAAATAAGCACATATTGAATGTATACAAGTATAAAGATGACTATACAGTTGCCAGAAAAGGGGTTTTCGTTATTGTACCTTCCAGCTGGCTTTTAATCTCTTTCAATAACAACAAAATGTCAAAAATGCACAACAAGCGCAACCTAAAAATGTGACACTATTTCAAGTATCTACTGCAAGAAAATCTAGTTCAATCCCGTTTTACACTGACATGTCTAATGGTGATAGGATGCGCTTAGTCCGTTCCCATTTACACGAAACTACAAGTGAGAAAACGGGACACCTCACTAGAACATGACTTATTTGATTTAGTCAGAGACCATGTCCAGCTTCGAATGTTTTTTTGTACAATCTTCGTTTAATTTCTGTACAACTAGAAGTCTCTGTTGACACTGGTCATGTTGGTGTTGTATACTTCCGTTCTCAAATATAGTTATGGCGTCTTGAAAGAGAAATAACTAATCAAAATAAAGATAAACATATATATTTTTTCTTCTCTATTTCACCGTTAAGAAAGATATGTTATATGAAGCACAGCATACCCAAAGCCTGATACAAGAAAGTAGAGAAGTGTTTAAATACCTGCTATCAAACATAGTCATTATTTCATATTCAATACAATAGTCAGTTGGAATGAGACGCTATCAAGTTCTATCAATAGATATATTTGTTATGGAAAACCCCTTCATCAATCACTGTCAATCTGATCCACATCTTAAACATGACGTGTGTTCAGTTGCACCATGTAGCCGACTGTTAGTCAAATTTCATGAGCTATAGACATCAATAACATACCACATTAATTGACTAATATCCGTACAGCGATGATTTGCCGAACAATGATTACTCAAGAATAATGTTTTTAACTCCCTCTTTTCGAACAAGACAATAATATCGCGTACAGAATCGAACTGGAACATTGTCTTACTTCCCAAAACCAGTCCCTTGTATTAAGAAAGCACATTTCAGTTGTCAAATATGAACATACCATAACTCTGATAATGTTCGACAACATAAAACTTCCAGTGGACTGTCCTTGGCTTGTTCTTGGAGGGGTTTCCCATACTGATCACACCTGCTGTATACTCAATGCATTCCAATATCGTTTTCTCTACCTAAGTGCACCAGTGCGGGTCTGGGAAAATACGACTATCTACACAGCATGTGCATCATATTTTTTTCATGTTTTTCCCCTTTATCTCTTTTTCGATTTTTATTCATGTTTTTCTTTAAAATGCCATACAGATTCTGAACGACATTTTTTCATTTTTATCATTTTCACATATAATTCTACAACATCTAAATCACTTGTTTTTCTACGACACAGTGTTCCCTGTTCATCTGTTATTTTTAATCTTTACATTCGAGTTTTGACATATCAATTTTGCTGTAGGTATTCGATACACACAAGAATATGGAAGACTTCAGAAATGTCTACAAAATCACAAATTCACATAAAAATCACTTTGTCCCTTATTTATGTTTATAACTTTCACGTAAAAATGATAAAATACATCACAAAATATGAAAGAACCCAAAAGAACAATGGAAAGAAGACATGATTTCGTGCTTCTGATATAACAACGTTCATTTTTTGTCGATTCAATTGTCCAGAAATCTGTTGTGTATAACTTATATAAGCATAACAATAATTAACTGTAATCTATCTGAAAATGCATTATTTGGGGGGGATGAAAATCCAGAATATTTAAGTTTCATCTTTACAACGGTTGGGAGCTAATCTACAATAATGTTCTATAAATTATATCAATGCCATTATCGTAGGCATACTAAATTATTTCCAGATTAATACTTTTATTGAATACACATGTTTTATTATCAATGCATGAAAAATGTAATCTTTCACTTAGTCTTCTCACAATGCAATAAAATCAAAACATCAATCAATAAATCAAAAGTTTGGAAAGCATCAGTAAGGTTTGCATATGCAAAATCCTTTATGAAGAGAGGAAGTAGAGGAAGGTACAAGTTTGTGAGCACATTATTCCTCCTAGACTTCTCTCAATTCTGACCCGCCAACAGTAAAGACAGAATTCCATTGAACGACTGGTATAGGTCGTAAGAAGATCTATCTTCGGAAAGAGGCTTATTTCCCGAGCTTTATAACAGTTTTGTGCACTTGTGCTAAAATAATGTTTTGATATACCAAATGTAGGCATACTTCAGTGACATTAACACTATCATAAAGACTTGTAGATGTATTAGATTATAACATAATAATCTATTTTAGGAAGTTACAAATTTTCTAAACAAAGCGACACAATGGTATTCTAAATCGGCAAACTTTACCCCTTTTAAAGATGTAAACCTGTTAGACAACGATCCAGAGACTCAAGGGTTTATTGAACTTTGATATATCTTAATGCACCATGAAATATCAGCAATTCTATTTTTTCTCTTTCCCTTGTATCTCTCTCTCTCTCTTTCTCTCTCTATCTCTCTCTCTCTCTTTCTCTTTCTCTCTCTCTATCTCTCAGCCCTTCTCTCTCTCTTTCTCCCTCTCTCTCCCCTCTCTCTCTCTCTATCTCTTTCTCTCTCTCTCTCTCTCTCTTTCTCTCCCTCTCTCAGTGTCTCTTCTTCTCTGCCTCCCTCTTTTTCTGAATCATAAATGCGAATTTGGATTTGCATATTCATTATTCGATCTGATATGGCATCGTGGAATAGTTGAGAGATTGTTTCCTCATAAAGAACCGTCCTAAAACACTATACGATTATATTTCTTAAGTAATAAAACACGTAACAAAAAAATTATTCTGTCAAAGAAAAAAAAATCGATTGTGCTCGACATCTCAACTTGAAAAAAAAATAAACTGGCAAACATTTCGAAGTCAGGTTAGAGTATTGGTTTGAAAGCTGAGGCATTAATCAAAGATGTTTGAAATGTTATGTCTGTCTTAATTAGCAGTAATTAGCGGAGGTCCAAAGTGTTATTGTTTCCAAAGTATGAATAGATTTTTTTCTTCTCTACTCTCGCTTTCAACCCAATTGCTACAATCCTGACTTCAAAGTGAATGCCTTAACATCCATTGTGATTAGAACAAGGAATTCCAATGGCGGATGAAATTGAACGTGTCTATGGACAACCAGAGTCAGAATCCTCCCCTTCCAAGTAAGTGGGCGGGTCTTGTATCGTGGAAGGTATCCATGACAACTGTTGAAATGCTCTAATAGTAATGTACAATCTCTCTCGCTCGTTCTTGTAATGCTCATTCAATTCAGTGATGGTGTTATTTAGATAATTCGTTTTACACGTATCATGGCTCTTACTGCATTGAACGCTTTCTGCAAAGCAAAAGGTAGAAAAATGGCAAAATGATATAGGATTAGCGTGCTTCGACGATAACAACTAATCTGGTAAAGCAGGCCTAATTGAATTTAAGTTTGTGGGATTACATCTGAAAGTTTCAACACTTTGTAGGAAATGTAGATGTGTACTGAAGTTTGTTTTATTTTTTGTAAAAGGTCAACTAATCCTCTTTCATATGTTACGCAATATTTTATGATATCGATCTGCATTAAACAATATATTGATATGAAATAAAAGTATGTTATATTATTGAAATGCATGAATCAATATTTCAGGGATAAATATGGCGAAAGCTTTTTATAAAGACCACTCAAGGGAGATAAGAATTTTGTTATATGTAGGTGATCATGGACAATTCCTTGATAACGCACACGTTTAAATTTAACACTCTACTCAAGGGGGAAAAATAGGCTTTATAATACAGGTGGTCTTTCTATACAGGTGGTCACTAAAGCAGGTTTCATTGTTTCAATGAGTAATGCAATAACACTGAACAATACATCAACCAAGAAACTGGTTTGTTCTTTAAAGTAGAAAAAATAATACGCGGGAAAACACAAAACGCCTAATTTAGAAAAGTCAAGCGTACACGTTTTGATAATAACTGAACATCCCAGTTTATATACCCCTTTGCATTAAAAAAAAGCTTATGTTGGCAAATTTTTAACCCTTTGATGAATCGCAAAAGATAGTCACTTTGTTTTTGCATTTGTGGTGTGACGCCCCCATCCATAACGCCCCTGTTAATCAGCCTTACTCTTACCTGCCATCTCCTCTTGATGATATATTTTTTCAACCTAGCCTTAGACAGAGCAGCACCAGTTCCTACACCCTTCTTCGTCAGCCATTCAGATTCTAAGCACTGCGGGCATGTCAGTCTGTCACTAAATATATCAAGAGAAAATAAGGAATGAAATTTTTGTTCTTGGAATTACTGGTGTAAAATGGAGTCCACAGCTATGGTAAAAGTCATAGGCAAAAAGAAGAGAAAACTTACATTTTTTCTTAATTAATCCTTTATCCCTATAACCATTATACATAGACTAATTTAAAATGGATATTCGTCAGGACTTTTCTGATTTGTCAACAAATCAATTGTTTTACAAAATCCATGATCTTGGTCAACACTTTTGAACCCTTTGTTTAATAAATAAATTACAATACAACATTGCTATACAAGCAACTTAACAACACTATTTGTATACCCTGATATTATCCCAGTGCTACATGTACACATTGGCCTATTACGGCTTCCACCAACAAAATAATAACGGCATATTCTCCTGTATAAGCTTGCAGGAAAATACTTACTTCTTTTCTTCCACCAGCAGATTTTCAATGAATTGCTTGGCGAGATCTGAGATTTCATCAAAGCACTCGTCTTCGAAGTCCCACTCAAGTTTGAGGATATTACTCATTGTCTCTCCTTCATTATCTCCCATGAATGGTGAAAATCCACTCAATCTGTAAGAACAACAGAAAACACAGTGTAAACATAAATAAGAAACAGAGCGAAGACAATCAAGACCGTGATGACAGCGTGAAAACTCTGAACGTAGATGAGACATAGACTAAACACAATGTGAACCCAATTTTGAAACACTGTGAATATAGCTGAGACACAAAGTGAATGACAGTTTAGAAACCCTGGAAACATTGCTGAGAAGCAAAATAAACAGTGTGTTTATCAAAGCTCAAATGCGAGTAATAACAGTATGAACGCAAAATGAACATAATTTTAGAAAAGAATTTTGAGCATAGTTGAGTATCAGAATTAACACGATATCGAAACAATTTAAAAACATTGTGGTCATAGTTGAAAAAGGGAATGAACACAGTATGTACACAGTTTACACATATTGTGTACTTAGTTGAGATATAAAGTTAACACAAGTGTGAGCATAGTGTGCAAATTAATTGAGAACATTTCTTATTATTCTTACAGGAATTGATACTTCCAGGTCCTTATATTTTTTGTTAGATAATGAACAATTCGACTATTTAAGAGTCAAGACCCTCAAAGAATGTTAGATACCCCCATCACTCACAAGATATAGCAGATAACACCCACACTCCACATGTCAGTTCCGTAAGCAACGTCGTCATATGAAACTACTTCCGGGGCAAGAAATTCTGGAGTACCACAGGACACCTGTAGATTCTTAGTGTATTTCTGAGCAAGACCGAAGTCGATGATTTTGATTTTGTTGCTGTTTTTTCTGACACAGAGAATATTCTCAGGCTGTAAAAGAGACATAGAGAGTAATATTATCGACATCGTGTGAACCTACATTACAGTATAGCTCTTAGTGTATCCTTAAGTTATTTTGCTATTATTTTAAATGACATTATATATTCTAGTTTTTCTGAACCTAACAGTACAAATGAACCTACATAGATATATAATTTCTTGATAAATGTACCTTCCTACTTCTTTGAATAGGAATATAAGGTATGACAGAGTTGCCTAGGCACATTTTCAAATAGAATTTATCTGAATTAGGAGTACTTGGAATAAATCATTGATTTTTAACTCATTACTTTCAGATACTAACGTTAAAATGCAATAAAATGAATATGTCTGATTCCCGTGTTTGGAATAATTTACCTTTAAAAATATGATGAAATAACCAATTTAGCAACTAGAAGAAGAAAAACAACTCTACTTCATGCATGGAATTGGTACAATTGGGATTTTAAAAAAGGAGATCATTACCTTCATATCTAGATGAAGAACACCCTTTTCATGCATGAACTTGACTCCTTCACATATTTGCCTCATGAGGAAGACTACTACAGCTTCTGTCAATTCGAACTCCTCGTCGACCACGCGATCGAATAACTCTCCTCCTGAAACACTGAATGAAAAGAAAAAAACGTCATCAAATTTGTGTGATTTCGTAAAATATTCAACAAGAGATATCAATCATGTAATTTATTGTATATTTGATTGTTGTAAAGCGCATAGAGAATTTATTATTATGCGCTATATAAAAATTACTTTATTATTATTATTATTAATATAAATCTTAGATAAGTCAGCACGTGCATCACAGATGCCTGTCATTTACTTAAAATCAGTGAAAATTTCGTCACCCGAATTAAGATCATTCAAGTTTATAATTGTCTAAAAAGGTCTCTAACCGTGAATACCCAGAGTGATTGTGTATTATTCATTTCAGCTGAAGCTTTCGTTTAGACAAATTGCATCTTTATAAAGATCATAAAACTATGACTTAGGCTAGTTGCCCTATGGTCATTTCCCTACACTGGCTATAGAAGGGGTGATAATATGATTTCATGGCACAGTGTTAATGCTGATGAGGCTATCATGGGTAAACAATACATCTTATTGATATTGTTATCATTATTATTATTCTTAGTGCTATTATCATTATTATTATTATTATTATTATTATTATTATTATTATTATAACTATTATTATTATTATTTACTAACATCAACCCACGACCAACTACTTAGCCAACTTCACCCCTAAAACTCAATTGCAACCATGACGAAATCCGTTTTTCTTTGATGAAATCAAGAGCAGAGAAATATCGCCTGCTGAGGTGATGAGGATGGTTGAAAGAAAGTTAAAGTTAAACTCACTATTCGAGAATCATAACCATGTTAGACCCGGTAGCGAATGCGTCGTACAGCTGGAGAAGTTTAGGATGCTGGAGGATCATCATAATTTCGATTTCATGTTCAACCTACGAAATGAAAGAAGTGGAAAGGACGTCATCGTGTTAAGTTAAGGATGTTCTTTGACATGATGGGGTTGTTTATTGGTAAAAACACGATAACTTCTTGAATAGCACAGTTAATCTAGTTTGCTACATGATTGACACGATGTGTTTGGTTATGACTGCCCATGCTTTGAGTTGTTTCAGTCTGATTGATGTCTCCTTTTCGAGTTCCAACTTTAGCATGTTGGAGTCACCTTTATTAAGTCGATGCACGACACACGCAGTTAGTTGACTGTAAACCTCGAGTAAGCTTTCTTAATGGTACTTCAAGGGCGTCTAAAGAAGTTTGAATCTCGTGAACAGCATTTTATGAAATCTTTGAATAATTTACAATGAGATGAGTTTTTACGCAATGAAAGCCAATACAATCAGGGTAGTTCAGGACAGCTTCAAACGATAAAATTCTGATATATTTTCTTTTAAAGGAGGAATCCTACCTTTCTAATATTAGTCCTTTACCATAATAATGATAATAATATTCTGATACTATGGATATTTCTTGTTTTAAATACGATAATTACATGAATGTCTTTTACAATCTTAGTAAAACATTTACAAAGTGAACTCTCTCTCTTACTTCTTCCTTGTCCGCTGGTTTCTCGGCCTTGATGAATTTTGCTGCCCAAGTCTTTTTCGATTCCTTTGCGATACACTTATTTACAGTGCCGAATTTTCCCCTGAGGAAAGAAAGAACAGACAAAGTGGTGTAAAACAGTTCTAAATTTTAATTAAAAAAGCGAAGAACGGCCTACGCTTGCGTTCACACATGCCAATTCTAGCTCATACACTTGATTTTAATCTCATTCACTATCCATACATCGCGATGCTTCTCACCTGTCAACAGGCATGGAATGCAATGAGACAGACACTAAAATGTGTCTTTGAAAAAGGAAGCGTTTTCAACAAGATAATATACATTCATTACATTACCCCCATTCTCGTCATAAATGGTTTATGAGATGAATGAAACATACCTTCCTAATTCCTCCCTGATTTCATAGAACTCTTTCACATCTTTATTTTGGACTTTCACGTCCCTTGGCTCGAATGCGGCTTCATCTATTGAGGGGGGGGGGGGGGAGAGAAAGCACAATCATTTGTACTAAGCGCCTTATAAAAATTAAATATTATTATTATTATTATCATTATCATGATGTAAACATGTAGTGCTGCGTTGAGGATTGAAATCATTTTTCTATAATATTCAGAGGCGTTAATTTTTGTAAATGAATACGATTATTTATATTTGGTATAATTGATTATAGGATTATACCCGTTCAAATATGGAAAGCATTAAAAAGGGCTGTATTACCTACTTGTATCGCGTTTTCATTTTCTACTTTTTAATTGTGTAATGAATTATGCATTCATGCAGGACAATCAATCTCCGTAGTCTCCGTTGTGCATTGTCCATAATAGTGTCTCCATTCGGGCAGGGATCGCGGAGTAAAACTATGCAGGAAGACCTACTTTGATCATTATAATTTGGCAATATAATATGACACGATGGTATTTTTGGTTTCAATTATTTGCATATTAAGATTGTGTAACAACTATCATACTTCCATGTTTTTATATGGTTAGTTAGGCTAAAATTAGATTAAGTTAGCTTAAAACCAATGATGTAATTATTGCTTCTTCTGGATCTTATCAACTTTGTTTGTTTTATTTGATGCGAAAGAGCGCTTTGCTACTTCTTAATTTGAGTTTGAGCAATACCTAAGAAGGAAAAAAATATAAAGTATTCAACAATCAAACCATTTTTTACAAATGATTCAAATTTACATAACATGCAGATCAAGTTCAATAATATTGTAATAAATTCATCAGCTGATACCTACCTGGCTCGTTCTCTTCGTCCTTATCGGCGTCTGTGGAAGATCCAATAGAGAGAGAGAGAGAGAAAGTCATAGTTACATTTTGTTTTTTAACCATACTTTATTATTGCGTATTAGGTAAAAGTATTGAAGTATAAGGACAAGGTAACACACGCATGGTCGTATTCTATGATATTCTAGAAGTATGATATTTCCTTTACACATATGTAATTGCTTCATCCTACCACCATTAGTCCAGTTCAGTCAGTAACCCTTGCCCTTTCAACCGATATGATTAGTGTTAATGAGTTCCATGAGGATCCGTTTAAAATCTCCAGACCAGATTAATCTTAATAGAGTATTATGACATAAAGATAGAGTTGACGGCTGGTTGATGAGTTGAGAAACGGGAGACAGGTTCCAGGAAGAAGGAAAGGTCGTGTCATCAGAATGTCAGGTATGTTATATCACTGTGATGTTCATGACGTATGTTCATGGGTGGCTGATGAAGGCGCTAGGGGGCGGGTTTCCCACTCATACAAGGTGCTGATGATCTAAATACATGATATGTATGTCCGTGGTACTGAGAGGGTTAAATGCTGGTCTAAAATGACGTCCAATCGTGTTGTTCACGTGTTCACAACCTTGGATTATACTCTTTTAAAGAATAACAAAAACAGTTGATAAATGTAATGTGATCGAAATTTTATAATTGGTTGCCAAATATGATCTAGCTTTACAGTACATGAATTCCTGGGATTTTCTTCCAAAAAGCTTAATTGTATCCTAAACACATTATGAAACATAAACATGGAAGTAAAGGTCAAGCACATGGAAATATATAACCCCATGTGTAGGCGTATCTTTCTTTAGAGCACATGCAAACATTTAATACACATGTTAATTTTGTTCACCTCCGCGGTTAAGAAAAGAAATCACAAAACTGCCCAGCTTTACAGGATCTATACATTATATTCTGGGAATTTCATTATGAAGATAAAAGATGCCGTTTCGGATCAACCTGAAAGGTAGGACTAAGAAATGAGAACAGATCTTAGGTTTTTCAACCTGTGTACCAGCAAGTAGAGTGCCTTACATGTGTCATTTGAATTCATCGTGAAATTTAAATTCAGTTCAGTAATTCAGATTGAGAACAGAACCACTGTTTTCACGGTTATTCAACTTCATTTTCGATAAATGAATATTTATATATATTCGAAATAAAGCACGTATTTCCATATGAATCACAGCTCTTACACAACGGGGTAGTTACTTGACGATTTACCAAACAATTAAGTATCTTTACCAATATTTTATAGAAGTTGATTCTTTCCAGGTTTGAATTAGGGATTTAAGCAGTGTATTGTGATTTGTTTTTCATCACAGGAGATAGTGTGTGTTGATTTATCATTAGGCTGTTCATCTCAATCCATCAAAATAGTCTCTTGACATTTACCAGCAGTCATTTATATTATACCAGGTACCCCCAATCATCATGGTAGGTCTAGGGGAAGATTATAAAAGCGCCTACCAACGAAGTCAAGGCCGGTCTAATGGAAACCTTTTGGAGGCTTATTTAATGATCTACGTATGTCAGAGTTTGCTCGAACTGCCCTTTCAATATTTTCTGATAGTCTGATTATCTATTCTTCTTCTTTTTTCCCTCTCTCCCTATTTCACCCTCACTCTCTTATTCTAGATCCGTTTTCCTCCCTCGTACATCCAAACTAGGATTTTATTTGTTTCTAAACTGATTTTAAATTCACCTGCATTCTCAATTACATTCATGAAAGTTAACCTTCATCTTCTAAAGATATTAACTTACCTCACCTAAAGTAGATTTCAAGACTTTTAATGCGCTTGAGTCAAAATGGACCAAAACATATTAATATGTAATATAGGGACACATTCATTCCAGGCGCAATTAATACACTATGCTATCTGGGGTGTAAGTTTATCCTTTCAGGTCTATTAAAGGTTTACAGCACATGCCATGGTTAAATGTGGTCAAGGATAACTCTTTTTCACTAACAGAGTGTTAAACTTCAACGCATGTCCAAGCACTACACACAACCTTAACTATCGTCCTAACCTAACTTGAAATCCGTTGGTACTCTAACAATAACCTTATACTGACTGACACTCTCCCACTATTCTGCTACTCAGTTTGCCCTACAGATCTATTGATATAACTGGGCTATTTCATAATTATAATACTAATAATAGTAATAATAATAATTATTATTTTGTTTACCCAGGGGAGCCCTATCAGCATTATGTATGTTCATCCTGAGAGCCCTGTAATTACTATTTACCGAGCAGCTGCCAATTACCCATTTACACCTGGGTGGTGAGTAGCAAATGTGGATTAATGCTTAGCCAAAGGAAAGTAGTGCCAGATTGAGATTCGAACCCTCAGCCATTGGAATGAGAGTCAAATGAATGAATCACCCTACCACGGCACTTACATTCATTTTTAAAGGGATGTCTTGTGTGAATGTTATCAGCATTAAAATGATGTTGGATACCGCTTGTTATTGGCTGATGTAGTCTCTATAAAGAAGGGAATGGGCCTTCCTTTTATGACCGTGTTATGTTGTGTCTAAGCATGTCGGATGTTTGGTGGGAAGAAAAGGTCTTCAATGATTGATGATGTCATTTTAGATGGTACTTTAACTTGCGAGCTTTCACTAACTCGATCTGTCATTATTTGTTCATGTAAAGTCTGTTGCATCAACTTGTACTCGCGACATTCCAGAATTACTGTCAGCTAAACAGGGGACATTCCTCCTCTCACAAGCTTCTTGAAGGGAGTGATCTAGTCCTGCTAATACTTGGTCGCAATCTCGCCTGATGGAGTCGTTATGTTGAAAGTTTGGAATGGTATTCCAGAGATCTAATTTTATACCGCTACCCGCCACTGCTTGAGGTTTCGGCCATTAGATGAAATGATCATATTAACATCATCAGCACTACCGCGTACCGTGGTGCAACGCTGCACGACATTAACGGGAAATATTGAGATAGCTTTAAAGAGATCAGGGCCTGAAACCTAGATAAAAGATTCTGATGCGCTCGTCTCGCGTTACAAAACTTTATCTTCTCTGTTTTTAGATTGCTTAATGTGAGCTACTGTTTTATAATGTTTATCCTAATTGTAATTCTCGACAGCGGGGATAGTTGGTTTTATATTTAGCAAGACCGTAAGGTTGTGTCGTTATGGACTAGCCACTTTCCGTTTTCTTCATTAGTTTAACACTGCAGACGAGCAAACAAAAGATTTAAAGATTCTGTTATAAGAAACAAAACGAAACTGTTAAGAGGTTCATCATGATTAAAAAGGCATGGAGGTTGAGCCAAAAAGAAAAAAAAAAAATTTTGAAAATGGGTGTGTTTCCGGTTACTAAGATCTTAGTAAAGGGGGACTTCTTCAATAAATACTACTTGGAGATGCGTTTTAGAAATGATAAAGGTTGGTGCACCTTCTTCATTGTCATAAAGCAAGTATCTTTCCATCTGAATAGCTCTCCCGATTAATCAGGTCAGACAACTTCAGTGAAATAGAATGACTGATCTACAGACTGTTGGCGACAGACATTCCAAACTGGTCAGCTTCAGATTGGACATTAAAGACTGCACAAATAAGATTCAACCTTAACAAGTTACTGCTAAGCCAGTTGTCTCTGTCCTTTGCCCTTCTTAACGTCATCTGTTTGGTCTATCAGTGACTAATTAGCCAGCCGCCGGCTCCATGCAGCTCTTGCAATGTCATCCTTGCCAGTCAGCTAGGGTAAGAGGGGCACGTGGGATTCTTCTTCTTCCACACAAGCTAGAGGTATATGTAAACCTTTGCATCCTCTATCCGAAGTTCAATATACTTAACTGTTGTCAATATGTTTTATTGATGAAAAATGCGCATGAAAATGTATGCAGAATTTGAAATTAGTTTACGGTCCTATTCATTTAGCTTTACGTTTTGATAATAATATTCAATTTTTCCCCGGGCCAATATTACATACTCGTGTGATATTTCAGATAGGTTTTCAATCAATTTTCCCCGGGCCAATATTACATACTCGTGTGATATTTCAGATAGGTTTTCAATCAATTTGTTCTCCTCTGAAGACACTTAAGCTAAAAAGCATGTATGCGATCAAACTACTATAAGATGTCTACTCTTTATAGTACACAATAACAACATAGAAATGAAAACAATGACCATGTAAATGCAAGTTTTGTTTCACACCTTCGGCCCAATATTTTATTTTAATCAATTTCATCTCATTACACCCTTTCTCATCTTGTCTAACACCTCTCCTGCTTTCGATACATGAAGATACCCATTTACACTAGTTTATGAATTTGTACTCTCTTGTCCTTTCCGAGGTTTTTCCGATTCACTCTTTTTTGTAAAATGCATTCATTTAAATCGTGGTCAAAAGGGGTATCTATTAAAATAATTATATGTATGTGTCTCCGACATGTCTTACCAACTTAAAGTATTTTCATCCTAAACTGTATGTTAACATTTTGGTAAATAGTTCCTTAGACATGAATTGAACAAACATAAGGGTTGGTTAGTCAGGGAAGGGGAAAATAATGAGATTCTGTTTACATAACAACGAATTTTACCTAGTACATAAGTATATCTAAGAGTGAATTAATACGCGAATGAATAAACAAATGGTTTTTTTTCTTACCGCCTTCACAAGGTTCAATAGGATCCGAGATGGCGCTAGGCTTCGACTTTCCTTTGGCGTTGATACAGCTGACCCTGAACTGGTACTTCTTGCCTTCAGTGACTCCCTTGCAGGCATAGCTGGTACTGAACACATCTTTAGCGACATTCTTCCATTTCTTCCCACCATCCTCACTCATCTCCACCATGTATCCTGTCACGATACTTCCACCATCGTACGTGGTTCCAGCCCATACCAGGTTGATGGTATCCTTGGTGCATTTGGCTGCAAAGGGCTTGTCTGCCGGTGGCTCAGGGGGTTCTAGGAACAGAGATTATGATATAACAACAAGTCCAACTTTGTGATATGACCTTAACATTTACAAGACTTGGTGAATATGTAAAAGCGATATGTGATCTGTTGAATGGAAAGAAAGTCAAATTGGTTTTCTTTGATGTTGCCTGAATATTGGTTATTTTCAAATTCTCGGGGCGGCACCATCCCCTTTTTTGCGCTAATGGAAGTGTTAAGATTTTAGAAAATAAATTCATTTAATTTGTTCGCAAAAAATTGAAATGGGAAATCTTTGCTATTCTGTCCATCTTACATTAAATACTCTGTGCAACATATTAATACTTGCATTATAATCAACTTACCAGCAGGCATCTTGACTTTCGTTTACTCTTCTGCAAAAGAATGAACAAAAAATAAAAAGGTAATTAAAATGAGACCAAGAATAGGTCTAAAGAAAAATAGTCAAATTTATTCACACCAGGCTTAAGCCACGTTTCTAAGGTGCGTATGATAAATCTCGGACAAGTAGTGCTTTCATATCTAAATGCGATAAGAAGTAGGGTGCCTACGACGACCATCATTGTCTTCCTCTCAGATAATGCGACCATTTATTTCATAAATTGGGAAAATCTCTACCATTATACGGAAAGAAAAAACAACTTTATGTTGAATCACTGAAGTCACTTCTTTTTATGGTAAGATTTTAACAGCAATTAGAATGGAGTTCCAAGTTCTGTCTTGTTGGATGTTTGGTGGTGACATTTGCGTGTTGCGATTGATCTATGACGGATAGTCTTCCTGTTTGACAAGGAAGAAGTGGGTTGGAGACAAGCAGGTGATACTAAAAACAAACGCGGATGGTTGAAAGACCTCTTGTTTACTCTGATAACAAATATCACTTGGAAAACTTAATGGCACGCAGGATTATTATCTCAGTAAGACAATAGGGTTACATCCGAGCTGGATTAATCAAAATATTTTGCAGTGCTAACAAAGACATAGCGCCATCAGAGCAAAGTGAAAGAGTTTTTTCATGGAGGGGAAATAGGGTGCCTCTTTTTCAACACTGCGCTGTTTTGAATACTAGAGACTCTTGAAACCTTGCATGAAATGTGCATGTGTATTGAAGATAAGTAAGTTAATATAATATTTATATGAACAGAAAACATAAGAAAATATCCACATATACAGGAAGTTTCCAACTTTTTTTTGGAGTAAGGAAGTTCCCTATACTTCAGGGAAAGACAACCTTAGGAGTGCCTCATCTTCGTCAAACTGACACCTAACTCCTCGTACTAGCACCTAACACCTCGTACTAGCGCCTGGGTGAACCCTGCCATTTGACTTCACCCAACTTACTTTCATGATCGCCTTATGACACTCATCCTGGGAAAACAACGTAACAAAATCGATGGAAATGGTTTACCAGGTCCTTAATGATTCCCATTAAATGAAGTATAGACGAAATAATGACGAACATAACTTCATTTGTTGATTTTGCGTAGGTTTATGAAAGAGGTTTGGTCTTAGTTTAATTATTTGTACACAGGTAAACCCTGTCAGATTCATCAGCATAGAGCTCTTTTTCAGCACGGCCATGATTATGCAATAAAATAAATTTTAAAAAAGAAAGAAAATATCAATGAAATGCCTTCCATAGAAAAAGGGAAAACAACGAAGAAATATTCAAATAAACAAGATCAAATCAAATGATTCGGAAATCCATGTCTGAAGGCTTTACAGCCAGACCCGCCATTTTGTTCACATACATCATTAGAGGGCGATAGATGCACTGTTTTGTTTTGAATTTTATAACATAATATTCATTGAAATACAAGTAACAATCGTTGACAAATAAACAAAACACGCTAAAAGGCTTGCTGTACTAAAGCAGTCATTGTAACAAAACAATATTTTACCCCTTATGTTAATATATATATCGCATATAATCATGCCTAGCTCGTTTTAAAACTCCAAGAATTGTAGCATATGTTTAATTCAAAACAAGCTCTCTGTGCATTACAATTTCCAAATAATTCTATCTAATTATTTTGTAGACAAAAAGGATCGCAATGAAACAAAAAAACAATTTCACTTCATCACTTTCGACCTTTCGCCCAATTCTTTTAAGAATCTTACCGAAGTGGTTCTGCAGTGATACCGAAATGAAGTAGTCCAAGATAACCACTCACGAAAAAGACAATTGGAGAACACTTTTACTTCACAGATCTCCAGACGAATGATAAAACTCGATGGACTCGATATCGCAGTGACAAGAAATAAGAAGAGACTCTTCCGATAAAGCAATGCACCCAGGAACCCTCTTCATGAAATCACGGAGGACACAGCGAAAGGGCAATGACGACCGAAGCATCGATAAGGTCATATGGCAAACGACTCAAACAGAGGTGTGACGTCATCACATGGGAAGCATGATGGCATTTTCCGGATACTGTATACAAACAGCTCAGTGGGATCCCTTTTATGCATGAATTTTAATCAACACATGAACAACTGTCTACCATGTACAGAAATGAGCAAACTGGAGGAAAAAATGAATCTAAACCTCATTTGGTGTTCATTATTTTCGTATCTTGAGTATTATAGACAAAGAGTGGTGTTGTTTTTCTTCAAAGGATAAAACTATATTTTATAAACCTATTCTTTTACAAAACTTTGGAAAGCTGTCTTAAAGTGATAAAAGGGTCTTTTTTGTTAACCAATCATAACATTTTGCTCTTAAACAATAGCAAATTAAAAAAACTTTGTAGCTCATGAATAACTTCAAAATTCATGAAGGTTGTGATATTTTGAAAACATATTCTTCAGTTTCTATATTTGTTAAGTCATTTCCATCTTGTTATATAACTGCAGGACAATACTACTCTGGTCTGTGAGATTCTATTTCGGAAACATGGCTCGAATTCCTGTGGCTTCTATGCTTCTTATGTTACTTCGAGTTATTTCGGATACTCTATTCGCTGTTTCCGAGTTCGGGAGACCTTCACTTACGTCATTGAAAATGGTATGAGCCCACTTAGATGGGTCTTCTACCACGCCACCTCGAGCTGCCACGGGTCAACGTGTGACCTCAAGCAAAGGGGCTATTAAGGATTCTATATAGGGGGTGGGGCACTTTTTCCGGAAAATCTCTGATAAGCGCAAAAATGTGTAATTTAGAAATGTCAGAATTAGTATAAAGGTAGGGTTAGCTCTCCCCTTAAATCCGCCAATATTCTAGTATATTTAGTATTGACAAACTGTATCTTTCTAAAGACAAAACGGGTGGTAAAGGACATAAACGTTGCAAAGAAGAACTTCTATGATAGGATAGATGACAAAATAAGACAAATATTTGTAAATAGTCAAAGGGAGAATCATTACCTCATTTTAATAATTATTATGGCCTACATGAATTAAATTCAAATTACGTATATTTCATGGTAATGTTCGCACATGACGACATGTGATGCAATGGGCTATCGAAACTACCTGAGAATGATTTTTGCAAGTCTTTGTGATCATGCTTTAAAAAGGGAATTAATTTATTCTGCCTAAAATACGATCTGAGAGAAAAATGTCTCTATTTGGAATCAAAAAAGGAACTGATATCAATAACCGGGTCCGACAAGTGACAATGAAGTTAGGAACGGGTTAAATAATCGTTTAAAAAAGGAAAGATTTCAAGTAGAAAATATTTGAAGTAAGAACTTGTAAGGGAAAATCAAATTTGTTAAAAATAAAAAGTAAAAATGGGGGAAAGACACTATGGGAACGGAGTATTTAACCTTACGGAAATTTCGTTGTTGGCAATCTCATCCTTTCGTGGGAATACAGAAATTTACGGAGAACATTGTAAGTCCTAATCTTTACTCATTACCTTGTATCAAAGCTAATATTCAGCGATAAGTGATATACAGATATTAGCTCTATTACTGAAAATATAGTATATATTGTGGAAGAGAGGGTGAAACATATAACCAAAACAAGTATCAGCTGTTAATACGATTTAAGTAACCATCACGTATTAAAGGCATAAAGTATTCAGAATAACGAACGTTTAGTGGAAAAAATGTCGACAACTTTCCTCACGAAAAAGAAGTCAAACCAACATGAAGAAATGCAGTAGACGAAGCAGTTGGCGTTATTGATATGATATGAATAGATAATATTAAGTAAGTCAATTGGTTAAACAAAGGTGACGGTATAATGAGAAGCCAAATAAAAAGCTCAAGTTTCAATCAGATTGCATTACAAAGCGATAGAAAAATAGTTGATGACATCATAAATGGGTTTTGGGATTCTGACACAACAATTTTGTTCACTAAATAAAACCACTAAAAAAATTAAATTGCTGAATAATTCATGTCAGAAAATAGTTGGTATGGTAATACGATTGAGTCATATCTGTTATATAATTTTTTTAATTTCTTATATAAAGGAAAAAGAAAACAAAATCTGCGTATCTAGCTGTTGAAAACGAGAGTACGACAGACGGATGAAACGAAGAAGAGCATACTAAGACTTGCAATGAAGCGGTCAAATAATTACACAGAGTTGTTTTTGCTGACAGACAAAAGCGGAAATAAATTTGTTGAAAAACAATCAACAATATGAAGCAGGCAACCAAAGAAAAAGATTGCTAGGATTCTTAATTCTGAACTAGCCTAGATTTTGTCTACATATAGTTGACGTTCTAACCAAGTAGATATATGGTTTCTCTCGCTTTGCATTCTTCACATTCCAAATACGGACAGGAAAAGCGAAGAAACGTCCGACCCAACATTACACGCTCATGGCTGTCCAACCATTTTGTCTTTTGCATTTAAAGTCACATTTCTTAAAAGCATTTTACGAAAATCTCCACGCAAAACGAAACTTTACTCAAAAATGTGAAATATAAACACGAATTGTAGTGCGAAAAACTGAAATTATCTTACCAGAAAAGTAGAAAAGGGTGCAGTTGTAAGTGTTAGGCTTTTGCCGAAGATACTTCCCCACGCCTGAACTGAGCTGAGTCCCCTTTCTCTCGTACGTCTAGATAGAGAGAGAGAGAAATCACAATCCCACAATGCTTTGCAGCGCTGGGGTCGATGGGAGGAGCTAACTAAAATGACAGGTTATAGGCTGCTTGTGCATGTATCAACTATACCTTGTGTTTGCGTGTGTGTAAAGGAATGGAGAGGTTTAGAGAGAGCTTGCTTCCCCTATTCTAGCCCGATGAGAGGAAGCTTAGACCCTAATACCTGCTGCTTACAGTGGTATGTGTGCAAATCAAGCCACTCTCGTTTATACACTAAATTGAAAGTTGAAGGATGTTTCAACTTCAATTATTTTCCAGACTTACAAAGCTTTCGATTTTGTTTGGCCTTACTTTACGGGTGATATTTTACAGACCTAATTTTCTAAGGAAAAAAAAATTATACAAGGTTTTAAGATCGCCCTATTGTAGTAGTATAACATATTAATTTGATTATATTCGCGAGGCTGAACTGAAAGAAAAAGCATCACTAATATGTTCACAAAACAAACATTTTTGTTTTAAAGATTTCTATTTAGGACTAAATGTAAATCTAGATATTATATTTTGTTTTGCAATAATGAATATTGTGTATATCATCATATACATTAATCAAAATTTTCATTTAGGCAGTTATATTTGTTTATAATACACTTTCTGGAGAGTGTTCATTACATATATCGCAGTGCGCTATCCGATATATTACACGATGATTTGGCGCCCAACAAATCGCTCACAGCATAAACACCGCACTGCCGGAGACGATCCCTGAACATCGGAATGACAGGAATTCACTTCCATGTATGGTAATGCCCGGGCTTACTTCCAACCAATCGCACGCGCTCCCTACGGGGTGTGGCTCGAGTGCGGTCCACTCACTACGGGAGTCGCCGCACATATTGGTCGGACTGCTAGCGGGTGCTCGATTTTGTTCGGCGATTCGGGGTCGCGCTCGGAGATGTGACAGGCGATACACGGGTCACGGTGATGTCATATGATCACTCTCACTCACTACATCTTCTGATAGAACAAAGCAAACTTCACTGGCCGTCTCCTTGGATGAGCGAAAGTTGTAGCGCACACAATTTTTTGTAATAACTTGTATTTGAAATCTAAAAAATATTATTACGATTAATTTGATTCTCGACATTCTCATAACTCTGTCCTTAATATTCACAAGTCCCCCCCCCCCCCCCAATTACTGATATAATCCTGGATCTGACCCTGCTACTAGTAAAATAAAATTGTTGTGCCGAATAACAGCATCCAATATTTCCAATCATTATACTCCTAGATCAATGACCTCTTCCTAGCATGTGATGGTAAACGGCTATAAAATGATCAAACCATAACAAAAGAATTTAGTGTTCATATCGTTATTTAATATGTTTATTACCTACTTCTTCTTAATCTCCAGCGACTTCAAATTTGTATTAACTTATTCTAAGATCTCCTTTATTCAGATTGGAGAAATCTTTTGACGATATCGAAATTAAACCCAGGGACTTATGATGCCACGGTGTTTATCATTTCTAAATATATAGATTTGCAAATTTTAGAATGATTTAATCGAGGATGGACAATAAACTTAGACCGTGGTATGTCTGACCATCGTTTATCCAGTGCGCTTAAATGTTGAATAATGAGAACGTAACATTCTGAAAGAGTTTAAAATTAGATGCTAAATTGAATGCGAGTTTACAATAATTACTTTCAATTGAAAAAAAACAGACTCCTCGGTCTGTTTCTCTCTCTCTCTCTCTCTCTCTCTCTCTCTCTTTCTCTCTCTCTCTCTCTCTGTCTCTCTCTTTGTCTCATTATAATTGATGTCTGCATGTAACTATGTCTGTTTCTTTGTATATCTCCCACTCTCTCTCTCTCTCTCTCTACCTACCTGCATGCCTGTCTTTCTCTCTCTCCGCCTCTCTGTCTGTCTCTTTATCTCTCCCCTCTCTCTATCTCAACCATCTGTCCATCTTCTTTTATCTAAACTATTGTGACTTGGATTTTTGCTCCCCTATGTCCATTCTCCCTTTCTCTCTTCCTTCCCCTCTCTATGTTTCTCCTAGTTTTTTTAGTTTGTATTATATGGGTAATCGCAATGTACTTTTCTACTTTAAAAATTTTACTCAAGGTCCCAGATTTTTCAATCATGAACAGCCTCCTTTTTTCTTATTCCATGAAGATGAATCTAGATTAGCAATACATTTCTAGACGGGAACTGAAGAAAAAAGGACAAGAATCCATTTTTAAAGTTCATAAAAAATGAATCTTATGACTTGCTGATCAGATTATTTTTTATATGTGCCACAGACATAAAGAAAATAATTTATAATTATGTACAGACGTGTTCGAACAAATGGTGTCTCATTCTGCCCGCTTTCTTAATGAATGAAGTCCTATTATGACTTTATGTTAGATCTTGTGGTTAGAAATGCATACATTTCTTTATTATAAATATACATGTGTTTATTAGTTCACATATCTCGTATAATTTGAGATCATTTTATTTTTCATATCAAATTTGGGAAATTTCAAATTGATGTTAGTCCTATAGCACACATGCATTTCTCCAAACATATGTTTTTTCATCTGTGATCTATAGTAGATATCAAACAAACACAGTTCAAGTTCTACTCCTCTCTTTTTCTCTTTCTCTCTCTCTCTCTCTCTCTCGCTCGCTACCCCCTTTCTGTTCTGCCTGTTCTGCCTGCCTCTCACTCGCTCCTCCGTTATCTGTCTTGTACCTTTTAAATGTTAATTTCACTCCTTTTTCCCCCTTCCCATTCCTACATTTATTAACTACCCCATCCCCATCTTCACCCATTTTTTTCCTTCTTAATTTTCTCCATCTTCTTATCGCAGCCTCTCTCCCTCTCTTTCTCATTCTCTTCCCCTCACTCTCTCTCCCTTATTCGATTTCTCTCCTACTCTTATCTTCTCTTTCTAGCTAACACACACATACTTACACACACACACCCACACTCTCTCTCTCTCTCTTTCTCTAAAGCTCAGTCTCTCTCTCTCTCTCTCTCTCTCTTCTCTCTAAAACTCTTTCTCTCTGTCCCCTTCTCTCTCTCTTTAACTCACTCTCTCCTTTTCTTTTTAGCTCATTTTACTTTCCCCCCCCCCCCTCTCTCTCTCTCTCTCTCTCTCTCTCCCTCTCTCTCTCTTTAACTCACTCTCTCCTTTTCTTTCTAGCTCATTTTACTTACCCCCTCTCTCTCTCTCTCTCTCCCTGTCTCTAACTCATCCTCTCCTTTCTCTTTTGCTATTTTCGCACCCACCCACTCACGCACACAATCCCTTCCTCTCCTTCACACGTTCACCTACAATAGCACCATAAATATTTGTTTTATAGTATGAAAAGTACAAAAATGTATATACATAAATGACGCATGGTCTGTTTATTAAATAGTGAAGATAACTATCTAAAAGTTGCTGCATGGGACACAAACATTGGAATATTTTTGCTCTCTTCTCTTGTCTCTAGTATCCTAGTGTGATACTACCGTTTATGATAACGTGCGAGACATGGTCACTTGAGAGTGTTGTATTCATTTACAAAGTTGTTTTCCATCCTTTGGGTATTTCATACAAAACATGTTTTAACTAATTTTGAATAAATAGACAAATAATGATCATATTGAAAATAAATTAGCAGATATCTCTTGTTTATTGTGATGTATCGATTTCTTATATAATGCACACTCCAAAATTGTATCGACTATCATTTAGTGACGTGGGGAATCGAGATACTACATTCTAAAGGTATGTTGAATTACAACAAATTTTTGCTCACTTAAAAGGAAAATTGATACAGCTTGACTGCTGGGCACATAAAACAAAATACATGAATTGAAAGTAAATCAAAGTCAGGCAGTTTTGCTGGTAGTTTGTCGGTCAACATAGTGTGTCAGAACCGTATATCAATATAACTCATTTCATTTTTGCAATAAATATTTATCGCGTTTCGTGTGACAGAAATAAATGTATATAACATATAAAATATTTCTATCTCAAGTGCTGTGTATATAGCTGTAAGTTGTGATTTTGTAATTTGTAAAGATGTAAAAATCACCACTTTCAGTCGGAAATATGAATTCAAGAACGCTTAGGACTTGAAGCTTACTGAACAATGTCCGGTGTATTTCTACCATGGGTAAAAAGTACCCCTAAACATAAGAATATTCTTACGTTAAGGAATTAAGAAGAGACAATTTAAAGATTTACAAAACACATGCTATATAGCCAACGAAATGATTTGCAATTTGCACACACTACGACACTTTGCTGAAAACATTGAATAGAAATATTCATATAACAATTACAAATAGATGAAACAGCTGAGTAGTGTTTTACTGAAATCCTGATATTCTGGAAGACATTCTTTTGCCTTAAGTCTTCATTCCAAATATTAAGCTCAACTTTTAGTTTTACAACCCGAAGTAGAAAAGTTAATACTATACATATTTTCTTATCTCCATCAACTTGTTTCCTTTTATTTTATATAAATAAGCCAGAGAAGCTTCAGAAACAAAAACTCTCAAAACCTAAATGTCAACCCCCCCCCCCCCCCAATAAAAAAATCAAGTTTATAACCAAACTTCAGAAATGATAGTTTTTTAAATAGTGTACAATAAACTTTATGAGCTCTTCATAATTCACCTCAAGAAAAAGCGAATGCAATAAAATAGAATAAAATATCATTCATATCTTAATGCAGTACTCCACTCCTCGAAACGGGTTTTAAATAAACTTTCTGCCTTATCCCTCAAAATCGTCACAGATAACACCAATTGCACGATTATACAATATTTTATGGAAATAAATTAACCCTTTTGTTGTATTATTTTGATGACTTCAATTTCCACTTTGTGATTTAACGATTGGTAAGTTTGTGGCACGAAACATATAGAACGGAAAATTTGTTCGTGTTTGGAATATTGCCTCTGAAACCAGCTCTCTCACTTTATGCAAGCGAAAGAGTCATTACCATACAAAGTGAAAATTAAGCCGACCCCATTTTGACGCAGAAAAAAGGGCGTCGTTTAAAAGTGACTGATGGCATAAACTTAGTGATCCTAAAGGGCTTAAATTAAGCTTTGTGCTCCTTCTTCTTGATTAGATTACGTGCTGTATCAGGAAGAGGCTCGATAACAAGATCGCCTTCGACTCTTGATTCCTCTCCTTTCTTGTCCTTGGCAATACAAATATATTTTCCGTCATCAGCCATGACGAGCTCCTGAAAGACGATCGCGTATGTGCCGGAGTCCGCAGAGTCTTCTTGTGAGATTCGGACGCCATCGAACTTGATATCAACCTCGTCTCCGTACTCGCCTTCTTCGTCAGCGGTGCAATGTTTCCATAAGATGCTGGCTACTTCTGCGGGATTGCTGATCTCCACCTCCAGCCTCTCACCGCTGCCTTCTAGCACCTGCGTAGTCTCCGGAAGGGTCTTGGAAAACAGCACTGTACACAAAGAAACAAAAATAATGCAAGGAAAGGATAAAGAATAGCTTATGTTCGTTCTACTTTAAATTACGTTCAAACCTTTATATGATATCTTGAATGTGATCAAATTCCTGTCTTAAATAGCTCCCATGCATTACCCTTCTAACCTTTATAATGACTGGGGGAGGGGAGGGTCATCCTAAGTTCACCCGTGTGTAAATTACTACCAGCCGACATACATGTGTACCCAATGAATACTTCAAAGTCTTTAGTTTTCGCAAAATTTTACACTAATGGACTATCGACAAGATCAACGCCCCTTTTTCATTTATATTGCATAGACCTCTATAAGTAAAAAAAAAAAAACTGTATAAAAATATTATCCATCGTTTGAACTCCAAATTTGTTACTGTATTATTCTCAAAACGCAAATTATTATAAAGTGATTGGTCAGTTAAATGTGGACATTCTTGAGATGTAAAATATGGACAGTGGCGCAATAAGCAAATTTGATTTCCCGAAATGTACACTCCAATAAATTCCATCAAGGTAATTAGGATCATTTACAAACTCGAACATATTTTATGAAACAGGAGTCGATCTCGATGCGATTGTTATCAGGAGTAGCAACCGTTACGCAAATTATCATACCGATTATACTTGTATAGATACAAATAATTATCAGCCATTTATCTCGCGCATAATGATGTGTAAGAGACAACTCCTAACTTTAGTGATGTGTGCTGCTAATATCGTATTTTGAAACATAATAATGTATTTCAACAGGTAGATGGAAGGATTAGGTACATGAAAGTAATTGCGAAACTTACACATTAGCAGAACATAAGGTCAAGAGTCATTGAAGTTTCAAAATAATTACAAATTCATGCAAAAAATGACAAACATTGAAAAACACTGGACACATAATATTATATGGGTATGACACAAATATGTGGGCAAAAGATATGCCCAAGTATGAATTAACTGAAATATGAGAGTGTTTCGTAAGCAATAACTCGAGACCAATCACCTTTTTTACTGCATGGCAATTTTGTAAAAAAATGATTTGATGTCAAATTAATATTTAATATATTAATTTCTCCCAAATTAAAATTCCATTTATAGGACAGCTTCAAAATAAACACCAATAGCATTACAAAAAAGAAGGAAATCAAGATATTTCGCCCACATGTCTATGTCTTCAATACAAAGACAATTATTGTATCATGATTATCATCCAGTTCATTGCAAAAACATATTTTTTTAAAAATTGCAGCATTCTTTGGCAGAAGGTCTATTTGATCATTTGTGATTTTGCTTTGAGGGTCTTTATAATTAATAAGTTTAGGAATTCCTAATAAAATAAAATTGTTATGTAAATGTATTTCAAGGTTACAAATAAAAAATGAAATTAATGATAAGACAAATGTAAAAGTTAAATGACAAGAAATGATCCCAAGCATCAAATTATCGTGATAGAATCCAGAAGTACATGGCTTTGATTACTTTTTGCAGGAAATAAAGTTCGTTATTAAATGATATCAATTAATATCTTCTCAGATGACGTAAAGCTTAATGAAAAGCATGCATTCGTGGGGACAAAATAGCTCAGAATCACTTCAAATAATATACATTATGTCAAGTAACTATAATAAGCGCAAAATAAAACATCTTAATGACAACCAAGGCAAACATATTTTAAGTGAGCAATAAGGGTTACATAAAATCTTCGACAAAAACAGTCCCTTTCAATAGTTATGGACTAAGAAAGCCAACCCAACACGTCATTCTCTCTACTGCAGCGCGACAAAGGTCATTGTCCTATGACCTTTGACCTCCTAGGAGAGGAGATTCCAGAACCAGTACTCACATGTTATTCTACAAGGAATTAACGAATATGAATCAGTTAATTAATTTGACAAGCTCCTTCCATACACATACGGAGCGCAGAGATCATATGCCCTTTTGAATAACGTTGCATCTGAATATGCACCATTCTATAATATAATAATTGGTCAATCATAATATGCAGTCTATGCGATGCATGATAACATGCGTATAACAATTTTACGGGATATTAATGATCCTAAACAGTAACAAGCGCATAGTTTAATCAAAATTGATTTTGTAGAACGTAGAATAGTTAATGTATTCCGAAAGGGGGGACAATTAAAGGCTTATAGCATCGAAATAACTTAATCTGACTAAGAACATGCAAGAGAAATCCACCACATTCCACTAGCTCTCACATGCAATGTTACGGGGAGTCAAAAGACCAAGGTTGAGCCTACGAGATCCTTAAAAGGCATTCCATTCAAGCACGCTCACATATACATCTCACGATACATTTACCTTCCTGCAAAAAAAACGTTTATGAAGATCCAAGAAGCGAATTTTGTCCACGAAATTCAATTCTTTCCGTGTACGTTACATAATGACACAAGTTTAGATAGAATGATACGCATTATAGTGCAAAATGGTGATAGATTATAACGACCAGCTTAGCCTAAGCGGTGTGTGCGTGTAGAACATGCATACCTCTCACAATGTGAACAAATTTAAAAGATTTAAAGGTTAAAATATATAATCTTACCACTCATTTTTGGTTGATATGTCAGGCGTCGACCTGCCGAAAGAGAAGAATGTGATTAAAATTGATGAGTTTGGATGAACTTCGAGTGGATTAGGACCACAAGAAAATCCGAACCGTGGACCTGAATTGGTAAGAGAAGAGAAGAGGACGGAGTGAGGAACCGAAGTTAAGAGATGGTAGGCTAGACACGGATGTTGGGATTCATCAGGCGATACCACAGACAGAAAGAGGGGAGGAGGGGAGGGAGGCTACTAAAGACTGAAACCTAACGCGGGTTAAAGGTTATTAATACACACGCCTGCAAATGTACACGCACACCCAACTTAGACTTACACAACACACACAGGTTTGGGTACACACATATAGATGTACAGTAGTATCTTTGGTGGAATCCGAAACACGCAAGGAGAAGCAAGGAGTGTAGGAAAAACATTGAAAACTCAATCCTGACCAATCACGAGTGAGGATACATCCTATGCCTCGATGTGTCGAGCTTTGTAATTGGCTAGTGAGTAGTTAACCCATGAAACAGTAACCCAGCTGTGTGGGTGTTGAATGCTACCTGGAAGTTTCTAAAACTGAATTGAATAAACGGTACTGTGTGTTGATCATTCTTACCCAATGGACTTTCCATATTTGTGCATTCTTGGAATAACAGTTCATCATTTTAAGAAAACAAAGTATCAAAGAACTCATTTACACCAGTACACAGACAAGAACAGACAAAACAAAACAAGCCAGGTTAAGAAGACTTGAAAGGAAAACATCAACTTTATACAATATTGTATTTTATAACCTATTTTCTAACTGTCTTTTTGTTCTCAAGTAAAAGCTGTTTATAATATAAATATGAAAGAATAAACCTTTCAACTGCAATCTCTTCAGGATTTAAAAAAAAGAAAAAGAGAATGAAGCTACACATCTTCATTTATCATATCATGTTATATTTTGGAATATATGGAATCGCATCACCAGAATGATGACTGTCTGGAAGGCATATATGCAGTAAGTTAAATGCAGGGGGCTAACCTTAAGAAAGTATTTCTTATAAAAATACAAACTGAAATCATGCAATACAGAACTAATAACATTTGAAATTTCTATGTTCATTTTTTATTAGAAGGGAATATAATTCTAAAAGTTACATATTTCCGCTGTATACGCGTAATCCAGGCTCCTGTCAAAAATACGAGGATGTTTTTTCTGCCTTTTATTTGATCGAGAAAAAAAAATCGATTATGAGACACTTCATGAAAAGATAAGATTGTATTGGTATAAACATTCCACTTCCTATTGTTTTAAACGTAACATGAATCATGAAAAGAGCATTTTTATTGTTTACTTTCCCTTTTTTTTACTAAATGCATTATCAAATATCAGTAAGACACAAAGACATATAGGCCTATGTATATTTTGGAGGAATTTTCACATTTGCATGCAAAATTGTGATAATAGTTATATTTCTAAGCCATATTTTGACACGTTATAAATTTATAACCGCATCCATCTGTTTCCACCTCTTCCTTTTTCATTCCTTCTTTTCTTTTTCTCTCTCTCTCTCTCTCTCTCTCTGTCTTTTCTCTCCTCCGTTCTTCTCTCTAAATATTGTCGCGTAGTTCACGTGGCAGAGTAATTATCGACAGTATTGTCTTTTTGTCTATCAAAGAAAGGAATGCCCAACTCGGTAACACCAATTAAAAATTCTCCTCACAGCAGGCCGTCAGCCTACTGTCTTGCTTCTGTCATTATGAATCTCTAATCACGTCAATATATTTTAGCGGGCACACTCTACGACTATATATGGTGAAAAGATTTCATTTTTCAATTATTCTTGATCACCAGTAACATAGTTTCTAAAAAACTTTGATGGAATTTCTGTTTGTTAAATTTAATGGCCATTGATAAAACTATACCTTACAAACAAACAAATGTTGCTGATGTTTGTGAAAAATGTTGTTTGAAAATAATTTAAAAGTTTCAAGCAAAATAATCAGGACGCGTAAAGTGTTTTTCCAATTTGTATTTTGGTGCTTTTTGCAGGCTACACCAGGTTGACCGATCCACACAAATTCTGCATTTCTTTTCACACTTTTCCTTTAGTATTGTTTCAATCAATATTTTGTTTACCTTGATTATATTGTCCATAAATAAGGTCTTAAAGAGATATTAATTATTATCATAATTATCCTTCTTAATATTATAACGATTATTATAATTAATATTATTATTATCATTATCATAAGTATTATTATTATTATTATCAATATCATTTATATCATCATTATTATTACGGCCGCCCCATGGAATGGAATCTTCTCCCTTTTTTAAGAGTTTCAACATAATTAATTGTTTAATAAAAAGTTGATATGTTTACAAGCTCTGTTTGTGATGAAAAAGAAGTTTGAGCTCAAGCAAAATTGATAAAAACAATTTGAGAGCTTTCTCACTCTTTTTATTCCTATGTAACAAATATCATAAGTATTATTATTATTATTATCAATATCATTTATATCATCATTATTATTACGGCCGCCCCATGGAATGGAATCTTCTCCCTTTTTTAAGAGTTTCAACATAATTAATTGTTTAATAAAAAGTTGATATGTTTACAAGCTCTGTTTGTGATGAAAAAGAAGTTTGAGCTCAAGCAAAATTGATAAAAACAATTTGAGAGCTTTCTCACTCTTTTTATTCCTATGTAACAAATATCATAAGTATTATTATTATTATTATCAATATCATTTATATCATCATTATTATTACGGCCGCCCCATGGAATGGAATCTTCTCCCTTTTTTAAGAGTTTCAACATAATTAATTGTTTAATAAAAAGTTGATATGTTTACAAGCTCTGTTTGTGATGAAAAAGAAGTTTGAGCTCAAGCAAAATTGATAAAAACAATTTGAGAGCTTTCTCACTCTTTTTATTCCTATGTAACAAATATCATATTGGCAACGGTGTAAGTGTCACTTTAGTAGTTATCTCCGTACATTTTTATAAGTTTTCATTTTTTTTCAGAACTACCTCTGACAATTTTCACGATTTCCTTTTTTGGGTTTTTGTTGTTGCTTCCAGTCAAACCAACTGTCCATGAATACTTATTTCCCCTTCAAGTGCAGATGGACAGTTCAAAAGCTAACAATGAAAGAACAAAGTCTATTTGAATATGATTACAACCTCTGGGTGATTGTTTAGACCTTATAAACCTTTTACAGATTACATGGGCTCGGTTAGTTATGTGCTTAGATCCCTTATCTCAATATGCATATATACAAATCAGTTTCAAATGCTCGGTTATTATCTTTTTGAAGTAACTACCACACATTGAGATATAAACACAGGCACACGATTCACAGATCCAGATCACAAATATTTGGTCATGTGACTCAAAGGACGTTTACACCGTGCGCCATCGTTTATTTTCTCAGTCACTCTCCCACTCACTCACTCTCCCTCTCTCACTCTCTCTCTCTCTTTCTCTCTCTCTTTATCTCTCTTTCTCTCGTTCTCTGTTTGCTCTACCTCGCTTTCATTCCTTTCTCTTGTTTTGTTCTCTCCCCTCTCTCTCCTCACATTCAATTTCACTATTTTTTTTTCTTCATTTCTCCTTTCTTTTAGTCTTTTTTAGTTGAATTCTTAAAAAAAAAAATTGCGACATTTGTAAGAATCTATATTACTACCCTATGTATACATTATGGTGAAGGAAAGAAATACAAACAGCTAGTAAAATTCCTGCAACTTCTAAAAATGCATGTTTTCTTCGTTATAGTATTAGTAGTAGTGTAGTAAAGGCACTAGCAGAAGTAGAATTAGTAGTGGTAGTAATAGCGATAGTAGTAGTAACAACACTAGCAGCAGTAGAAGTAGAAGTAGCAGTATTTTTAGTCGTTGTAGTAGTAGTAGTAGTAGTAGTGGTAGAAGTAGTAGTACTAGTACGGTAGTAGAAGTAGTAATAGTAGAAGTAGTAGTAGTAGTAGTAGTAGTAGTAATAGTAATAGTAGTAGTAGTAGTAGTAGTAGTAGTAGTAGTAGAAGTAGAATAGTAGTAGTTTTATAGTTTGTATTTACATCGGGAACGTAACTGTATTGATAACCCACTGAAGAAATGACAGATACTTGGGGAAATGTGAATATTCACGGTTTGGATAACTTGCATCGTAAGTTCTGAAGGATAAAGGATGGTAAAGAGATATTATTAATTGGTCTAGTGGTCTAGCCTTGTAATCAAATCATATTGGTTGGCCTACATCTGCACTATCTAATTCAAGAACACACATGCACACGCGCACACGCGCACACGCGCACACGCACACACGCATGCCCACACATACACAATAATCGGGAGCGCCAGGAGGGTCAAATCTGACTGACATGAGCGCTATACAAGAACCCACTATTATTATTATTATTTATCGTACGAAAATGAAATATATGAAGGGTGGGACTAAAGTAAATAGGTAAGGCGGGATGGATAGTCGTTTATAAGATGATATATGGAATAAAATATTTCGATGACATCGTTTAAGGGCTAATGGGATGAAAGGAAGTGTGAATGGAAAAATATCGGCAATTAAGTTGAAATAATTTCTTTTTCTTTTTCTTTAGGGTTGGGGTGCAAATCATATTTTTTTCTATGAACCAAATGTAGTGAGTTGTCAGAGGTAGTCAAAAAATAACATGTATTATCTGAAGAATATTCTAACAATACTATTGACCGTAATATCATTCATCTGTTTGGCAGGGCAATGATACAATAGTGAGCTTGCTAGGGTTATTTGTGTGGGTGTGTGGGTGTGTGCGTGTGTGGGTTGGTGTATGTGCGTAATGAAGACATGGTTGGTATCGTTATATAAGGTATATGTTATTCATCAGAAACAGAAACATTGGTTACACAGCAACCAAGGAGCCATCGAAGGGTCAGTATGGTATTAGCGAGATGCGACGAAAGGTTTGTTTTTCTTTACTAACATAAACCTAAAAGCTTGTGTCCTACAGTGTATATACCGACACCATTCGCTATTGTTTGCATGCATTCATCACATCTAAAGCATGCATGTATGTATTTCATGGTAACATTTACAAAGTAAAGTTTGTTTTAATCTGATGATACAGAAAAATTCGTTAATGAGAGATCCAGTGTTCTTAGAAAAACATGTTTGTGCGCATCGCCTGTATGTATTTCAATCGGAATTCTTCGGATGCTATCAATTAGAGGTCAGTTAAAATTCTGACTACCACTCAAATTCTAAATTGCTATTCGCTCGC